ATTTCATTATTGTGGGTTCTTTAATAAATGTATTTATAATCCATGAAGCCATGTTGGTACCTTTCTGATAGAGATTAGCCTCCACAGAGGAGAGATAACTTTGAACAAGTATGAAAACAGAGTAAGAAGCGAACCAACAATCCAAATACATATCTTGAATACAAGGATAGGAATAAACAAAGTAAAATATATATTTGAAAAGAGATTAAAATATATATTTTGCCACCAAGGATAGGCACCATAAAACAGAAACACACTCATGTGAAAAGAGCTCTGATGCTCATTTGGAAAGAAAGGGTCATGAGAGTTTTAATTGCTAGAAAACTTAACATAAAATTATTTTCAGTGTAAACATGTAGATTTCCCTAGTCAAGGGTCTGCCACTTAAAGGAGAGTACACAAAAGACAAAAGCTTTCAACTGGGCGGGTCATAACAAATTATGGATAACATTGAGAAGAATGGGATTTACAAAACACTTAATTATGCTCGTGAGGATCTTGTACATAGACCTGGAGGCTGTCATTCAAGGAGAACAAGGGGATATAGCACAGTTTAAAATCAGGAAGGGAGAGCATCAGGGTTGTATCCTTTCAACATACCTATTCAATGTGTATACTGAGCAAATAATCCAATAAATTGGACTATATAAAGAAGAACATGGTATCAGGATCAGAGGAACACTCATTTACAACTTGCGATATGCGGAGACACAATTTTGCTTGCTGAAAATAAAGATGACTCGAAGCACTTACTGAGGAAGATTAAAGACTACAGTCTGCAGTATGAATTACACTTCAATATAAAGAAAACAAAATTCCTCACAACTGGACCAATAAGCAACATCACAATAAATGGAGAGAAGACTGAAGTCTTTAAAGATTTCATATTACTTAGTTTCAAAATCAACACAAACAGAAGCAGCAGTCAAGATATCAGACAGCATATTTCACTGGGCAAATTTGCTGCAAAAGACCTCTTTAAAGTGCTGAAGGACAAAAATGTCTCTTTGAAGACTAAGGTGCGCCTAACCAAGCCATAGTATTTTCAATCTCATATGCATGTGAAAGATGGACAATGAATAAGGAAGACCTAAGAAGAGCTGATGCTTGTTAATGCTTTTGAGTTTTGGTGTTGGCAAAGAATACTGAAAGTATCATGGACTGCTAGAAGAACTGACAAATCTATTCTGGAAGAAGTTCAGCCAGAATGCTCCCTGGAAGCAAGAGTGGTCAGACCTTCTGTCACCTACTTCGTCATGTTGTTGGAAGAGATCATTCCCTGGAGCAGGATATTATGCTTGGTAAAGTGGAGGGTCAATGAAAATGGGGAAGACCCTCAACAAGATGGATTGACACTGTGACTGCAATGATGGGCTCATGTACAGCAAGGATTGTGGGGCTGACACAGAACTAGTCAGTGTTTCATTCTGTTGTAGGGTCATGATGTGTCAGAGCTGACTCAATGGCACCTAACAACAACAAATATC